GTCAGTCGGCAGTCTTGTGCTATACGATGCACAACAGCTTGCCTACCTTGCACAAGTCCTCACCGCGTTTGCCTCCGAGTCCATGGCAGGCAATGTTGAGTGGGCGCAGCCGTTCATCCATGCGGTGCGGCCCCACGCAGGACAAGTTGAGGCCGCAAGCAACATCCGGCAAGCACTCCGCGGGTCGCAGTTCGTAGTTGGACTCGACTCACGGCGACGCAAAGGCGATGGACTTTGGCAGGACCGATACTCGACGAGAACCGCACCGCAGTGGATCGGTCCGTACCTAGAAGATCTGCTCCTCGCCCAACGACAGCTTGAGGTGGAGCTTAATTCCACCTCTGACAATCCCCTGGTGGATGCTTCAGTGGCAGCGGATGGAACTGTGGTAGGCGATGTCTATTCCGGAGGCAACTTCCAGGCCGTTGCGGTCACCTCGGCGATGGACAAGACGAGGCTGGCTCTGCAGATGATCGGCCGGATGCTCTTCTCCCAAGTTACGGAGATGATTCATCCTTCCACGAATAACTTCTTGGAAGCAAATCTAAACGCTTCTGACAAGGAAAACTTCACTATGAAGGGAATCGACGTCAACATGGCAGCGTACATGTCCGAATTGGCGGCGCTGGCCCACCCGGTTTCGGCCCATGTCATGTCTGCTGAAATGCATAACCAGGGCATCAATTCTCTGGCCCTTGTGTCTGCTAGACGAACCATGGAAGCGGTCGACATAGTCAAACACATGTCCGCGTGTCATTTGTATGTGTGCTGCCAGGCTGTAGACCTGCGGGCGACCCAAGTCCTGTTCCTTCAGACTTTGAAGGAGAAGACCCTTTTTGACGAGACTAAAGCCGGGGCCTTCCACCCGCTGGGGCTATCGGCCGCGAACGTTCAACGGCTTGCTGAAAAAACCTATCCGGTTGTTGAGGGGGCATGGAAGAACGCGAATCTGGGCTCCTGGAAAGAGCGAATCCCATTCGTTGAAAAGGCCGTGATTGCACCCGTCGTGGAGTTCTTGGGTGATCTGGACGTGGATGTCTCCGTATCTCGAGTCTCGGCTTTCCGATCCCACTTTACAAGTGTCGTCGCTGCGACTGCATCTTCCATATACTATCCCAACTTGGCCATCAAGCCATCAATGGTGGCAACGCAGCTGGGCGATGGAACTGCTCCGCTCTATACGTGGATTCGTTCCAGACTCCAAGTACCGATTCACTGTGGCATCGACGATGATCCCCTCTATGCTGCAACGAACGGCCTGCCTACTGAAGGAAAGAAGACCATCGGGGGCTGGGTCAGCATTGTGTACGAGAGTCTGTCAAAGGGCGAGATAGCACATGTGGCGATGACAACACTGGCAGGCATAAGGAAGGCGCCAAGGACGGGGCAGGAGTTTGAGCGACTGTGCCTAGAGCTGAATGGCCTTCATGTAAACGGTACCTTCAATGGGAACTAGAGATAGATGATCATCTCAGAATTGTTTGGAATTAGGTGGTGATAGTTGTAACGTTAATAAAGTAACTCCCATGTCTGTGTAAGGTAAAGTCGTCTCCTGCCTAAGTACAGTGTGTATTGGTGAATAATGACACTGTGTCACAACGTCAGGTGCGATGGAGCCTGTTGGAAGTGGACTGCATCTTACTTTACACATCATCGAACAACAACGAAGAGGAAGCAAGCTTGCTTTTGCAGACGTACAAAAACCCAATAAACATATCTCTCTTTGGTTCAGCACCCTTTCACAGCCATGGATGACAGAACCTCGCCCCCAGCAAGCCCCTTCACCCCCCTGGCAGACGATGACTCTCGTCCAGCCTCACCGGAGGTTCCCCTCACAATGACGGCCTCTACTCTCCTTGCAGACCTTCCCCGTGACGCTACAGCGGCTCTAGCGAGCGTAGGAGGGTTTCAGAGGGACAAGGTGATTGTGCGGTTCAAGCCCGTGGGATCTGCACCCAGCCTGCAGCAGGACGTGTGCAAGATCACGTCAACGAGGAAGTTTGAGGAGGTGGTGCGATTTCTCCGGAAAAAGCTAAGGTGCAAGGACACTGACAGCGTATTTCTCTACATCAACTCTGCCTTTGCGCCCAGCTTAGATGAGGTTGTTGGGAATTTGCATCAGGTAAGTCCTGCCGTTTGCCTCAAAGGCTGCGTACTAAGAACGATTCACAGTGCTTCAAAGACGCCCAGGGCCAACTTATTGTCGCTTACTCCATCACGCCAGCATTTGGTTAAAGTCTCTGTTTGATTTATCCAAAAAGGCCATTTCGCATGCTATTATTAAGACTAAGGATCCATAATCAAAGATACGGGATGCTTGCTATGCTCTCGACTCGACGAAATCCGCTGAATGCAAGAAAAATCCAAAATCCAAGTAGTCGACCCTCCCGGGTGCTGCCTAAGCCTTGCCTACAGAGCCTTGACGGCAGCGCGGAACGCCTCGACCTCCTCCTTGGGCGCAGAGTATGTGTGTTCTGAAGCGGGATACTGGCCACTCTTGACCTCATCACGATACGCTTCAATACCCCTAATTGCCTCGTTCCAGACGTTGGCATACTGCTTCACAAACTTGGGGAGAAACCTCCCAGGAGGGAAGTTGCCCAACATATCCATCTGCACGAGAACTTGGCCCGAGCAGCCAGCGCCAGCACCGATGCCTATGGTAGGGATGGAGAGCTTCTCGGTGATCAAAGCAGCAACATCCTCGGGGACTGCCTCTACGACGACGGCATAGCAGCCAGCCTCCTGGACGGCAAGGGCATCTTCTAGCACACGTAAGGCGCCTTCCTTGGTCTTGCCCTGGACACGGAAGCCACCCAGAGCATTCTGGCGCTGCGGTGTTAGGCCAACATGGCCCAAGACAGGGATGCCAGCCGTGGTGATCTTCTTAATTGACGGGGCCATCTCCTTGCCGCCCTCGAGCTTGATGCTCTGCACGCGGCCTTCCTTGACGAAGCGGATGGCTGTTGCGAGAGCCTGCTCAGGGTTGAGTTCATAGCTACCCATAGGCAAGTCGCCAACCTGGCAAATATATTTGTTAAACTTGTTTTCTCGACGACACAGATATCGTAGATGTGGAATAACTTACTGTGAAAGCGGACTTGGTGGCTCGACTGACTGATCGACAGTGAAGAAGCATCTCCTCAACAAGGACCTCGCTTGTATCCTCCATGCCAAGGGCAACCATGGCCAAGCTGTCACCGACAAGCACCACATCTATGCCAGCATGGTCAGCGACGTGGGCGCTGGGGAAGTCGTGCGCGGTGATCATGGTGATGGGCTCCCGCTTGCGGTACATCGCCCGCAGGGTGCTGATGGTGACCTTCTTCCGGCTGGTGGAGGGCGCAGCGCCCATGGGCGAGTGAGAGCTGTAGCGGGTCTGCTGCAGTGCATGGCTCTGGTGAGCGAGAGATGGCGCTGTCAGTGCAGGTGATGGCGTGCATGATGTGAGAGTGGGTAGGGCCGCATGTCGTGCAGCGGTTCCTCTGACGGCGAGTCTGAGGCCGGCACTCACACACGACCGGCTGGCACCGACAGCGAGCAGTCGGGACATGTTGCCCGTGGGTATATGGGCCTTAGGTGTCAATTGGTGCTCCAGACAACTTTACAGCGGCTAGCAATTGATTGAGTATGCCTATGGTATAAATGTGCACTGGTACGGCTCTCTTATTGCGTTGTGCGAAGAAAAAAAGCTAGAATTGAGCTGTTTGAGAAATATGCTTTGCTCAAAATCCCTAAGCGAAAAAGATGAAATTTTATCAAGGGGATTGGCGTGGCAGGCGCGCTTTTAATACTGACCCCATCATGATGGTTTTTACGTTGTAGAATTGAGTATCTCTTGGTGGTTAATTTACCGGCCTGCCACAACCACTGTATTGCTGCCCTCCCCCCTCCGACCGGGCCGCGGTGTGATCTACTCCGGTGGGGCAAAACCCCTAGAACCAAATCGCATACAAAGAGCCGAGGCAACAATACGCTATTTTGGTTATCGATAATGAGTTGCCTGGCCGCGCCCTTGACGCGGTGACTAAGGTAGCGCTCCCTGATGCTTTTGTATGACTCTTAAAATGGATGTGCATGTGACTTTTTGTCATACTCGTTTGTTCAGCTGTGTGGGAATGTAGTAGCATTGCAGCAAATCAATAATGCAGATCTGGATACGTGTGAATCCGGTTTCGAGGCAATGCATGAGAACTGCAATGCTGCCGTAAAGAACTATGAGATGATGCCCTATTGCTACCATAGATCTTCGAATCGCTCTAGTAGAGGAACATCCCACATATTCGGCTATCGTCGATCGGATGAGATCCCTAGGTATTGCTCATTCCCTAATAGGACTCAAGACCACAATGTGAGAAGGTGGTCTCTTTCTTCCCTGTTTCAAGGGCTGGCTCTTGATACCCAAGGAGGTCAGCAATCCACGTTTGGCTCTGACATGTGGCTCTGGGGTGGAACAGAGACAGCAGACAGCCGTTGATTGGGGCCTTGACGCCGCTGATGTTCTGTCAATGGGTCCTGTCTGACGCTCTCTCTGCTTCAAGGACCGACATTCCCCTCATCTCATTATTAATGGCTCCCTACAGCGTCCTGGGCGTTGGGTCGGTCGCGACTGCTGTGCCCCGCTGACGCTGAGCGGGGAATGCCTCCAGGGCAGCTTATCAGGGCCCTCCACATCGCTGCCAGTGAGGTGACACTCCCTGTAGGAGACGTCACCTGCTGTTATTTGCCTTTTCTCGGCGGCAACAGTAGCGCCATCCAGGCAAGCAGGTGACTTGATGATGCGACGACGCTTTTGGCCAACTACCTGCGCTACAGGCTCGTCCCCGCCTACCCTTATTCCCTATATTCCCTACCAGCTCTGATTGTGCTCGCATCGACCACAGCTTCTCAACCAGCCAGCATTCTATTCCGCCTTTTCGTTGCACTCTAATCTACCAGGTTCGATCGAGCCCCCTGCCGCCATTCAGCGATTCCCCTCACTAACGTCGGACGTTCTCTAGATTGGCGTTTCTAGCCGCGACGTTGGGTCTCCTGCCAACTCCAACTACACACCCACCCCACTACTGAATCCTCCCGCTTCAACGATATCGGAACATCGCCAAGATGAGCAGCCCACGTAGGAGAATCGAGACTGATGTAAGTCGTTGATGTTTGGGATATTGGATTCGATGCGTTGAACTGGCTGCATCTTGCTAACCCTACTTTCTAGGTCATGAAGTACTGCCCCCAATATCCCCGACCAGGTCCGTGATCATCCGAGCTAACATGTGGTAGAATGTACGACGACCTTTGCCCGGGACGAACCTATGAATATGTACTCACTATACTAGGCTCATGAGCGATTATGAGGTGACTCTGGTCAATGATAATAGTAGGGACTCACTATTTCTTGATCTTGCTAGTATCTCGCTTGGCTAACTGGTAGCAGTGTGAGACATCTAGGCATACCCATCCCTCGCCCATGCGACCCCGCGCCCTAACCGATACATCTCGATTGAACAGGCAGGAATTCTTCGTGCGATTCAAAGGCCCGGCAGAGAGTTGGTCCCCCAGGACGCCGATAAGGCGGGCTTTCGTTGTCGTTGAGAATCCGCTAACTCTTCGCCCATAGCGCCCTTTGAAGGTGGCCTCTGGAAGGTGCACGTCGAGCTGCCAGACACCTACCCGTACAAATCCCCGAGCATTGGATTTGTCAATCGGATCTTCCACCCGAATATAGACGAGCTGTGAGTCATATCCGACTTGGCCCTCAGGTGTCGAGACGCGGTAGCTGGGGGAGGAACCACTTCAAACCTTATCCCATCTGGCTGAGCAACTCTGGATTTTTCAAGAGGCGGTACACTAAGGCGAGGTTTTTTTTGCTTGCAGGTCCGGATCGGTGTGCTTGGACGTCATCAACCAGACGTGGTCTCCCATGTTCGACATGATCAACATCTTCGAGGTCTTCCTACCACAACTCCTACGATACCCCAACCCCACCGACCCTCTCAACGGAGAGGCGGCTGCGCTGCTTATCAGAGAGCCCAAGAACTACGAAGTCAAGGTCAAAGGTTAGTAGGCGTGGCGAAAGGGTCATCTCTGCATCGAGAGTTCCAGGTTTTCTCTAACACGCGCCCTGGGGCCCAAACAGAATATGTCCAGAAGTATGCGAATAAAGATGCCGCCGACGACGCCGGAGCCGAGAGCGAAGACGACGACGACCTGTCCTCCGTAGCGAGCTTCGACGACGAGGACGAGGAGCCCGCCGGCCAAATGGACGACGTATAACCGACCCGGCTGTTCGTGCCAAAAGCGACTCTTCCCTCCCAGCGGAACGATCGACAGGGGACCGAGAGAAGGCGAAAGAAGGCCGACAATACATTTATGGCGTAATTGGGGTCTGTTCATGGGTTCAGGTATAAGCTACACCGGGAGCTTTTGCGGTTATTTTTTTTCTTCGTTTTTTGCCTTCGCATATTGGTTTCCTATCCTTATTCCGTCTCATTCTTTTAGTATGCACATGATATCTACCTCCAGTTGGTGTTCATTTTGATTTATACGAAGCAACTCAAATCAGAGGGAGACTGCAGTCGCATTTTGAGTCTTGCACAAACGGGGTAGCGGGTGAAAACGAAGGTTTGTGCAAGCTATTCTTTGGAAGGCAAGGAGAGACAAGTATTGGCTAGCAGGGCGGACTTGGTAGCGAAGATAGCGACAAGAGTCGAATCAAATGGATGTCATATTTTCACAGTAGCCATTTCCCATTTGTAGATGTCAACTCTCCCCTATGAAATTTCCAAGTGAATATAACTTATGAAAGTCTATCACAAGTTATGTATAAGTCCCATCTATATATATCGTCAATTCGTTTCTAAGGGGTATCATATGTAACGCTTTCCGTCAGCCTAATAAAAACCCAATCCCAACCAAAACTCCACGAACGCTAATCTATGTAGTACGCCAGATCTATTGTAATGTACAGAGATATTGAGCCATGTGCGAATCAACTTGAATCATAATCGACCAATCCAACTGTCATAGCTGGTGGAGGTGGTGCGGCCGCCGTATCTGACGCCTTCTCTGGTTGTTGTTTCTGTGGCTCTTCTTCCGACTCCAGTGGCCTCTTCCGCTTGACTCCCGGCAGCCTTGGAGGACCCTTGGTGTCTGTTACCCGGGCGCTATTGAGGAACGGATCCTGCGCCAGCCGCGTGTTGCCCATGACCTCGGAGACGAAGCCCTTCTTCCGCGCCGACGCCTCCTTCTCAGCCTTGAGAACGCCACGGGTCTTTGATTTCGAGGATGTCGACTCCTTCTTCTTTGTCGTTGTCGTCTGGAACAGCGGTTTCGCGAGCGCCCTGGCACCCTCGATCCCCTTGCTGCCGCCCTCGGGGTCAAAGTCCACCAGGGCAGCGCGCCTCGCATCCTCCTCCGTCGCGGGGAGCAGGTCGTACCCGAAGCTCAACCGGTCCTTGAGCTCCTCGCCCGCGACCGCATCCCTCTCCCTCTGGTGGCGGCCCTTGCGAAATGCGTTCCTCAGCCGCTGATTCTGCGCGTACGGATCGTCCCACTGGCGCGACGACACCTCGAGGAGGCCGCCGATCCGCTCGTTGGCCTGTATGAGCTGCTCCCTGTCGGCGATGGTCTTCTCGAGGCTCGCAAAGGCGCTGCTGCGCAGCCTCTGGCGCTCCTGGTCCGTGAGGATGGGCCGGCCGCCCTCCTCTCCCTCCGAGGCGGGTCCCAGGTCGCGCTTGCGGGCGCCGGAGACGACGACGTACGCGGTGTTCTTGGGGTCGGTCCTGATGACAATCTCGCCGCCGCAGTCGGCGTGGCGGAGGTGGAAGCTCCAGATGGGCGTGGAGTAGTACTTCCCCGCGGGGACCTTCTTGGCGTTGAAGCGCACGCCCTGGCCGATGATGGTGTCCTTGGGGCAGGAGGAGCACCAGATGGGGAAGGGCATCTCGAAGCGGACGGTCTGGGAGCCGTCGGGGCGGGTGGTGCCTGGGGCGGCGCGCCGGTGGAGGCTGTTGCCCGAGATCTTGGTGCCCTCGAGCTCGGGGGGGACGTAGCGTCCCATGTTGAAGCCCTGCATGGTGGGCGGATGTGGAGATGTACCAGTCAAATGGGATGCTTGATTATTCTATCGGGGTTCGGTTCGGGTTCCCTGGACTAGACGAGGTACGATCGAGGGTGGTGTCGCATGTAGTTTGTTGGTGATGTGGTGATGTCGGACATTGAGGTTTGGATCGTGGTTTTGACGATAAGCTTGATAAGCGCCGGCTGGGAACCTTAATGGCCAGGGCAATCCCCGCTATAGACAGCCGCTAGGGTGTCTGTCTTACAGGGATGTAAATTAGACCCACTGTTCTATGAAGTGAAAGCACACTGTGTATGAGAATAAAGAAAAAACGTAAACATACTTCATGATATATTCTTTAATATACTCTGAAAGTTAATAACAATCAATAACCTAAATTCAGGCATGCTAATGTTAAATCAAGTAAAACACTTGGATATTTGAAGATATATATGCTGAAGTCGGCATGAACCATCTGTGGCCTTGAGACTTACCCAACTCGTCAGCTAACCAACGCCTTCCCTCAGTTCGAGACAAATATTCTAAATACCTGACCATCTCGGTGAGCTTAAAGGGCTAATGTGTAGGATAAAATAAGCTCGCAATGTCTGCTGGCAGGGAGGTGGTACATCCGCGGACTTCAGAGCATGATAGGCTGCGTCCGGCAAAGTGAATCAACGAGGTTGACTTTCTTATTTATTTCTATAGTAATAAAACATACAGCGCATAGCAATAATGTCAATGTCATTTCAACTTTTGGGCAGTGATAGATTCAATACCGCATACTAGGCGGCGCCTCGCTGGGGAAGAAAGCAACGATTGGGCCATGTCAACAGGTACTCAGCCTTTGAAAGCGAGCACCGTAATGCATCAGTTCTCGACCGCACAGAGGGCGAACCCTTATATATTACTTCCCCGGGCACATCATTCAACAGACCATTTGGCGCAGTGGTCAACGGTGCACCGCTCCGATGACGCACCTACGAGATGTACCTACACTGCAATTGAGGCCGGCTCTAGGTGTCTGCCCCTACTGTTGATCACAGGAAGGGTAGGACGGGTAAGTCGCTTCGCGCAACAGGAGCTCCTCGGTTCGAGTCCAGGTTAATGGGCCGTGTCAGAGGCATATTTTTTTTTAGTCTTCTTGGTCTTGGTTTTTCAATTGTATGGGACAACTTTCTCTGACCTTTTCAATTTAGACTGAGGTGAAATAGTGCATAGAAACCCAAGCAAACAGGGAACCATAGCTTCCAACAGACTATCTAGCCGTCATAATTCTTAAGGGCCGCCAACCTACCAGTCCTTGTCTTTAGGAGAATCTTTCACCCAGAGTTCCCCAAATCACAAGGCAGAGCTGGGCTAAGAAATATCACACGGGGGATAAGCCTGCTTGGAAAATCAAGCTTCGCGAGTTTCAGGTAAGTTGAAGCCCAATGGAAAGTCTAGGCATCTGAGACGGTCTCTATATTACTGAGCATTTCTTTAACGATTGGTGTCTGTCTCTATATCCCGATGATGCAACAAGACTTTTCCAATGGCACTGGCAGGGCTTGGGGGAAACAGTCTCGTCTAAATAAACTGCGGATTGGTTCCTTTTTTGGTGGCCTCGATCGTGCTTATGGCCACTTTCTTATTCTCACCATGGTGTGCCAGGTTATCCGTCAAGAGCGGCAGAAAAACGCCTCGTATCTCTATAGAAATCTAGAGGGTTCTTCCTTGGCATATATAGTTGCCCTCGAGGACCAGTGTCGTGGGAAATAGACCTAGAGCTTCGACCAATGGACCACTTAGAGACTCTGCAAGAACCTAAAGGTGAAGCTTCAACGGGACGAGGTTTTTGCTTGCCAAATTTAAGAGGAAGATAGTTCAAAGAGCACAGCTGCCTTTGAGCCCCGACATTAATCTCGAGTTGGTCATTGCGAGCGAGCTCTGGGTTGGTGACATTTCTGTTCCGTCCCGTTTGGACCAATATCTAGAGATTGTATCCTGACTATTGGGCGGTTTGCGTGACATTTTCTTTCCTCTTGTGTAAATGACAAACAAACTCTTCTATTTTGGTAGAGATAGGGCAATCCTTGGTGTCATGGGTGCGAAAGCATATGAGAACCACCCGCCTTAGTTATGAAAGCTCCAATTCTTCAGTCGCCGCCATGCGTTATCTTTCTTTTGCCAGTAATGAATGCCAACTGCTGTATATGTCTATATTGGCTCTTCTTTTTGAATTAAACCATCTTGAGCGCAGCAGTTGCGCTATTAACATGCCCTGCTGATGGTTCGATCCGCCGATATAATATGGGGGTATAAATGTCCATTTTCCAAAGCCAGGATCCTCCCCCAGCTTACATGCATGCCCAAAACACATCAATTCGCCAAGATGTCCATATCTCCTCCAGAACCCGGGAACAAAGATTGGGTGGAGGGCGATCCCAGCCGTCCTCACGACCCTGATGAGACCGACTACAAGCTCCTGCGCAAGAACTCGGTCATCAAATCCTACACCACCAGCCAGTTCACCTACCCCAGCATCAGGGTCGTCTACAGACGCCACCCCGAGGCCGACAAACACTCCCTCCCATTGCTGGTCATGGTCCACGGCCTCGGCGGCTCTGCAGCTCAGTTCCACTCCCTCCTCACCCATCTAAAGGACACCACCTCGTTTCTCGCCATCGACCTCCCCGGATGTGGCCGGTCAACCTTCGACCCTCAAGCCTGGGCCGCATACAGCTTCGAGTCGCTCGTCGACATCGTCGACATCATCGCCAGCGAGTTTCGCCATGGTGACACCATCGTCCTCCACGGCCAGAGCATGGGCAGCGCCATATGCGCCCAGCTCGCCAGCAGGACTACCCCAACCCCATCCAGGATCCGCGACCACGTCGTGGGCTACATCGCCACGTGCCCGCCCGCTAAGCAGCTCTCACCGACGGCATCCTGGATCCTCAGGACGCTGTCGAGCCTACCCTCCTGGGTCTTCGACGTTGCCAGCCTCTGGGACGCAAAGGGCGGACCAGACTCATACAGCGTGACCCAGTGGCTCGAGCCGGACGCCGGCTCCCACATCAAGAGGGTCCAGCACCGCTACAACATGCAGACGCGCACGCCCGTATGGCAGAGGTTCATCTACGGGATCGTGCCGACCTTCGAGGACGACGGTCGGACCAGGGCCGGGCAGCCGGGCGCTGAGATCTGGGCCGGCGTCGACGTGCCCGTTCTC